GTGTGTGTGTGTGTATGTAGAGCCTGCACCAGGTCGTCAGCAGCTGAGTTTTCAGAGGTGGACCACCAGGCCTGTTTCCTGAGGCACCTCCAGGTGGACACGAACCTCTGATGTTTGGGTCGGCAGCCAAGCATGCTCACCATGTGCTCGCCCCGGGCACATGGCACAAATACGCCTCTGCTGCTGTTTTGAGAGGAACCGCTAACAAGTGGCGTCTAATTAGGCCGCGCTGTGTAAATGGAGCAGTTCTACGTGATTAGCGCGTCAGGAGAGTTGGCTAAGACGCGAGCGGTTCAAGTGTCTCTCGTGTACACAGTCTGCGATGTCCCTCCTGCTAATCCTATTCATCTCGAGTTGTCTGCTAATTAGAATATTTATGTCCTAATAAGAGGTGAGCGTGACACTCGAGCCCACTGTGAAGGTGAGCGCTTTCTCCAGTGAGGGCTTCGTGTAGACGGTGCGGTGGAGGCTGGGGCTCTGCCCTTCCACCTCGGAAGCTCCTTCACGGCCCTGTCTCCATCTCCGTCCACAGTCCCATCAGCCCCTCTCCATCTCTGACCCATCTCTCCCCGCAACCCTGTCTCCATTCGTGGCCCTATCCCTCAGCCCCATGACCCCCTCTCTCAGCCCATCCCCATCTGCGTCCATGGTCCTGTCTCTCAGCCTCACCCCCATCTCTGTCCATGGTCCCATCCCTCAGCCTCGTGACCCCATCTCTGTCTCTCAGCCCATTTCCATCTCGTCCATGGTCCTGTCCCTCAGCTCGTCCTCATTTCTGTCCCCATCTTTCTGTGTCTAGCAGGATGGCTATACTGAGCACTTTTTGGTTTGATTCTTCCAACTGTTCTCACACTGCCCACCTCCCAGTCCTCAGAAAGAAAGCTCTTGGGCAGAGTGACCAGTACACCTGCTGACTCTAATCCTGTCAGTGCCCACCCTCATGTCATCATCAGTGTGGTCATGTGATCCAGGAGAAAACCCTGCTTCCTGGGACGGTCACATGTGGAGCCCAGAGCTGAACTGCTCCCCTGCCATGGTTCTACACGTGTGCAGCCACGGTGTCTGTGTGGGCTTGTGACATGGCCCGGGTGACACCACTGCCCTTGGTGACAGTGTGGCCTGGGGTGACGTCATATCCTGGGATGACGTCATAGCCTGGGATGACATCATCATCTGGGGTGACATCATGGCCTGGGGTGACATCATGGTCTGGGGGTGACACTGTGGCTTGAGGTGACACCATGTCTTGAGATGACATCATGACCTGGGGTGACGCCATAGCCAAGGTGACATCATGACCTGGGCGGACTCTAAAGAACCTCTATTTGAGAGCTCACAGGGGTACAGGATGCTGTCCCAGGCTGGTGTCCAGCAGGGAGGACACTGTTCAGGTCACAGTTGCTGTCTCCATCACCTGGAACCTCGTGTGAACAGTCAGTGCCCTCCAGCTGCCATGGTTCCAGCCCACACTGAGCAGACGGGCACAGGGAAGGGTCCACCTTTACACTGACCAGTCCAGCAGAGGTCAGGAGGATCCCCAGTCCTCATCTCTGCACTGACCACACACCCCAGCGGAGAGGACTGGTGTACGGCACAGGGCCCAGAAGAGCAGGGTAGTACATACTTCTTGGCTTGGGGATGCAGAGCGAGAGCTGGTCACAGCTGGAGGTCAGATTCTGTTGGAGTCACTGGTCCCACCACAGACCAACTGCATCCAGCCCATAGGGACCAAGTGATGTTCCTAGAACTGTGTCACATCCTCGCTCCAGAACCTACACACACGCCCTCATTGGGAAAAGAGTTTTGGTAGAAGTAGTTAAGAAGGATCTCGAATGGAGCCCTGAGTCAGTGACGTGTGTAAGTAGCACGGAGAGGAGACACAATAAAGGCCTTGTGATGGCAGAGCAGAAGCTGAGGAGGTAACCACGGAAACCCTCTGCCCCTCCCTGGAGAGGCTCCATCAGATGCTTCCAGAACCAAGAGGATAAATGACCTTAGGACACAGAGACCACAGTCCAGGTCCTGAGGGACCAGCCAGCCCTGTCTCCCCTGGAGCTTCACGTCTGCTGCGTCCCTGTGTCCCCATCATGTTGGCGTACCCAGCTCTTTCAGATCCTGGCACTGATGAATGCTGAGAGTGGTTCTGCAGCCACTGCGGGGACAGGTCAGTGTCCTCTGGCCTTTCTTTCTGCTCCACACAAATACTCATCAGAAGAAAGAGGAAGTGAAGGGGCTGTGGATGTCAGACACATAGGCGGAGAAGAGACCCCCCTGGATTTGAAGGCTGGAGAAGATGGTTACCATGGTAGGAGGGACCCTGAGTAGACAAGGACAGGGACATCAGGAGATGGACCCTGGGTTGCCCTAAGAAGGGTTCATCACACCCTACACCCTCCAGTCCTCAGATGGCCACCATGGGTGGTCCTGAAGTGACAGGAGACTGGCTAGAACAGCACAGATGGCCCTCGTCAGCCCTCCTCAGTGGTCTCCCTCCTCCAGTGCCCTGCGATGCTGGACAGAGCCGTGAGACCCTCCTGAAAAGAAAAGAAGATGCCCCACCAGGCCCAGTAAACCCCACTGTCCTCCCACACTCCTTCAAGGGTCATTCAGTGGCGATCTCGGGGCCCCTAACTGAGCTTCCTGTCCTTGAAGGGGGAACCAGGGGTGCTTTCCAGCTTGGTGCACCCCCTCCCCCACCCACACTGTTCCCCACAGGTCAGCAGGTTCTAAGGCCGGGCGGGTCAGCCTCCAGCCTTGGCCTTAGCCCCTGCCCCTCCACGAGGCCCTTTCAGAGTGCAGCTGTGCAGATGTCCCCCCGGCCACCACTGCCCAACAGCTATGCCCCCCTCCCTGCCACCTAGGGCTCCCAGGGCCGACTGCTTGAAGCCCCCTCCCCCAGACTCTGAGAGGTGCTGGGCTATGTGCCACCCCAAACATGGCCAGAAAGGGGGGAACTTCACCACCTCCAAAACTGGGTCTGGTCTCCCCCTAGTGGCTCCCAGCACTCCCAGGCTTCTGGCACTTTCCTCTGAGCAGATGGATGGGGACAGGGCAGGAACAAGGAGAGGGACAAAGACAAGGGACAGAGATGAGGGGCAGGGACAGGAATGGACAGGCAGAGCAGGGCAAGGGACAGGGACATCAAGGAAGGCCAACTCTGTGGCTCAGTGACAAGGGAGAAATGTCTGGCGGTAGCCCCTGTGTCACGTGGCCTGGGGCAGCGGCCTCTCAGGCCATCATCTCCTCTGACCCTCAAAGCCTCCCTGTTGAGTGGCGCTGTGGCTGAGCTCCCCGCATATGACAGGCAGGCGGCCGGGCCCACGGCCTCCTCACAGCCACTGTCCTGCGTGAGCCCATGTCCAGCTCGGTGTCTGTCTGTCCTGTTGAGCATCTTCCTCTCTCCCACTGGTTCTCTACTTTGGAAACATGATGTCCCTCTCCAGGGATGGTCCCTGCTGACAGCCTGCCCGAAGACGTGGGTCAGTCTCAGCGCCCTGGCTTCTCAGGACCACCAGTGGCTGTGCTTCCTCCAGGGCTGATTGGTTGGTTCTTTGTCCACGATACATTCAGTGCTCTTTGCCAGCTCTCATTCAAAGGCATCAGGTCTCCTTTGGCCTTCCTCATTCATTGTCCTGCTTTCTCACATGCGTATGAAGTGATTGAAAATGTCATGGCGTGGGCCAGGCACACCTTCGTCCTCAAATTGATAGCTTTGCTGTCTGGGATTCTAAAGAGACCTTTGTGTCAGATTTGCCCACGACTGTACGTCGTTTGATTTCTTGCTCACTGCCTCCACGGGTGCTGGCTGTGGTCCCAACTCTGACAGGTACCTTTCAGTGCCAACATGTGCCTCGCACAGCTCACACGTACCTTACAAAGCACTCTCACACCCTGACGGTGAGCCCCCGAGACTGGCATGCATGTGCCCAGTGCGAGTGCACACTGACCTGCTGTTCTCACAACCCTCTCTCCTTCCAGAAAGTTCAGCAGTATACGGTCATCATCCAGGCCACGGACATGGAGGGAAACCTCAACTATGGCCTCTCTAACACAGCGACAGCCATCATCTCAGTGACAGATGTGAATGACAACCCACCCGAGTTCACCACAAGCACGGTGAGTGACCATCCCAGGCCTGCACCAGGTTGTCCCCCTGAAGGTCAGTGGGGTTCCCAGAGTGCCCATCCCAGCCCTGGCCTTATGTGCACCCATGCCAGAGGTGGGTCCCTTCTTTGAGGTCCACTGTCTTTAGTGTCCATCAGACAGATGACTCCAGTCAGGTCAGCCTGGCGGTCCCAGTCTCAGCCCCCTTCCTGTTCAGCACCCAGCATTCTTGTTGGCAATTCCTGGGGTTTCTGTGGTGGGGGGGGGGTGCTGCTGACACAGGACAGACACCGCATCTTCAGTGCCCACTGCCCTGACAGGTGATTATACTGGGATCAGTCAGTCATGTCCTCAGAGTACCTGTGAGTCACAAGGTGTCCAGCAGGAAGCTGAGGTTCAGAGTGACCCAGTCACTTGCCCAGAACGAAGGGGAGCAGGCTAGAGAGGTGGGCACAGAGGGGCACCACCATGCCCACAGAGCAGACTCAAGGAGCTCTGTGGGTTCCTCACAGTCCAGCGCCCAAGGCCAGAAGGCTGGGTATGGACATGGGCAGAGCTGCAGCATGGCCTCAGCCACAAGGGCCCAGCACCACCTAGTGGATGGTGTGGGGATGGCGGTGTGCCGTGACCACCTCAGGCTGGGCGGACAGGTGGGGTTGGGCTCCTGCTTCCTGGACAGAACCCAGTATGCCCTCTCCCAGACACCACACAATGTCCAGCCCATCCCCAGCCCTGTTCCAAGCCCTGCCCTGAGACACCTCGCCCCCTGATGACGGGGCAGGTCTGGAGGGGTTGGGCCCCACCTGGCCAGCGGGCTCAGCTCACTGCCCTCCTGTGTGTGTCCACACGTAAAAGAAGGCATAACCCTGCCCCGTGGTTTTCTTTATGTGGACCCTGCAACACAGGGCTGCCTGTCACCCACTGTGCTTATAGCCAGGGGCCCCAGAAAAGATCTCAGCTCAGGCTGAGGACAAAGCAGGAGGAAGGGCCGGCCAGGAGCACCTCCACTTCAGAGCCAGCACCCCGCCCTGTTCTCTGGCTCGGGCATCACTTTGGGGATGGGAGACAGGCAGGGTGTCCTTGACCTCTGTGTGTTCAGGAAAGCACTGGACCTGGGACAGGATTTTCTTTTGAACTGAAATCCCTGCCGACTGCCCCAGGAATATCCAGTGGGAAAGAGCTGCCCAACCTCTGACCTGAGGGCCAGGGAAGGGGCAAGACTGTGTTGAAGCCCCAGGACCTAAGCCCTTCATCAAGGACCTTAACCAAGGTCCTGGAACTGAGACCCCAGAACCGAGGCCCTGGAACCAAGTCGGGTTCTCATAGGTACAGTAGGGGGTCTTCATCAGTGCCGTGGGATTAGGTGGGGTGGGGTCCTCATAGGTGCAGTGAGGTGTGTGGGGTGAGATGCTAATGGGTGTGGCGGGTTCTCATAGGTGCATGGGGTGGGGTCCTCATGGGAGGTGTGGGGTTCTCACCAGTGCAGTGGGGTGAAGTGGGGTGAGGTCCTCATAGGTGCAGTGGGCTGGGTGGGTTGGAATGGGCTGAGGGTGAAGGGGGGTCCTCATCAGTGTGGCGAGTAGGCAGACTTGCAGGATGGCCACCGCCTCTGCCAGGCTATTTTTATCAGCTTTGATCAGGAACAGTCAGCAGAAGCTGAGATGGGGGGAGTGTTAGTACGCCCGAGTCCTATTCTTAAATGTTAATTAAAAGTTACTCCCCAGACTCTGCTGATTCTTGGGCCCATGGCCAGACTGTCAGCCTGGACCCCGCCTGGACCCAGCCCTCCTGCCAGGGAGACAGGCACCCCCACACCCCACCCCTCAGAATCTGACCTGGACCTCTCAATTGTCATGTCCTCAAAACTGGCATGGCTCTCTGGCAACAGTACTGCTCTGCCTGGTCACCAAGGAACATCCCCAAAGTCAGGAAGTCCCAGCCTTGGCTCCCTGAATCCCCCTGGCCATGGCCTTGGGCTCTGAGCAGGGCTGCTAGTCAAGAAGTCCCAGCCTTGGCCCCCTGGG